AATTTATATATATATATATATTATATATATTATATTATATATATATATATATATAAAAAATTATATATATATATATTTATATATATATATATATATATATATATATATATATATATATATATCATTTCTTTCAACACACCGGCCATATCCCACCGAGGCGGGGTGGCCCAAAAGGAAAAACGAAAGTTTCTCCTTTTACATTTAGTAATATATACAGGAGAAGAGGTTACTAGCCCCTTGCTCCCGGCATTTTAGTCGCCCTTTACAACACGCATGGCTTACGGAGGAATATATTTTATATATATAATATATATATATATATATATATATTATATATATTTATATATATATATATATATATATATATATATATATATATATATATATATATATATATATATATATATATATTTTATATATATATATATATAATATATATATATATATTATAAATATATATATATATATATATATATAATATATTTTATATATATATATATATATATATATATATATATATAATGTATGTATATGTGTGTGTGTGTACTCACCTACTTGTACTAACCTAGTTGTGGTTGCAAGGGTCGATTCACAGCTCCTGGCCCCGCCTCTTCACTGGTCGCTACTAGGTCACTCTTCCTGCTCCAAGAGCTTTATCATACCTCTTCTTAAGCTATGTATGGATCCTGCCTCCACTACATGTCTCCCAGATTATTTCACTTCCTGACAACTCTGTGACTGAAGAAATACTTCTTAACATCCCTGTGATTCATGTGAGTCTTCAACTTCCAATTGTGACCTCTTGTTGCTGTGTCCCCTTTCTGGAACATCCTGTCTCTGTCCACTGTGTCGATTTTCCCTTTTAGTATTTTAATGTTTTTATCATATCCCCCTTATCTCTCCTGTCCTCCAGTGTCGTCAGGTCGATTTCCCTTAGCCTCTCCTCGTAGGACATGCCTCTTAGCTCTAGAACGAGTCTTGTTGCAAACCTTTGCACTTTCTCTAATTTCCTTACTTGCTTGGCTAGTTGTGGGTTCCGAACTGGTGCTGCATACTCCAATATAGGCCTGGCGTACACAGTGTACAGGGTCGTCAACGATTCGTTATTGAGATATCAGATTGCTATTCTTAGGTTTTCTAGGCGCCCGTATGCTACAGCAGTTATTTGGTTGATGTGTGCCTCAGGAGATGTGCCAGGAGTTATACTCATCCCAAGATCATTTTCCTTGAGTGAGGTTTGTAGTCTCTGGCCCCCTAGGTTGTACTCCATATGTAGTTTTCTTTGCCCTTTCCCAATCTTCAGGGAACTCCAGGAGCCAGTTTCTCAGGCCTGCAGCCTGTCCAGATTGCTTTGTAGTTCTGCCGGGTCCTCGTCCGATTGAGTTCTTGTGTGTGTGTTTGTCTGTGTGCACTCACTTACCTACTTGTTGTTGCATGGGTCGAGTCATAGCCCCTGGCACCCCGCTTCTTCACTGATCACCACTAGGTCCTCTCTCTCTCTGTTCCATGAGATTTATCATTCCTCTTCTTAAAACTATGTATGGCTCCTACGTCGCTTGCTAGACTGTTCTACTTCCTGGCAACTCTATGACTCAAGAAATACTTCCTAACATCCCTTTGACTCATCTAAGTCTTCAATTTCCAATTATGGCCCACTGTTTCTGTGTCCCGTCTCTGGAACAACCTGTCTCCCTCCACCCTGTCACTTAATCGCAGTATTTTCTATGTTGTTATCATGTCTTCCCTGTCCCTCCTGTCATTCAGTGTCGTCAGGCTGATTTCCTTTAAGCCTTCTTCGTAGGGCATTTACCTTAGCTCTGGAACTAGTCTCGTTGCAAACCTTTGCACTTTCTCTAATTTCTTGACTTGCTTGACCAGGTGCTGGTGCTGCATACTCCTGTATGGGCCTGACGACACGTTTTACAGTGTTGAACGATTCCTTACTGAGGTATCATAACGCTATTCTCAAGTTTGCCAGGCGCCCGCATGCTGCAGCAGTTACCTGGTTGATGTGCGCCTCAGGACATGTGCTCTGTATTATATTCCCCCCAAGTTCCTTTTCCTTGAGTGAGGTTCGCAGTCTTCGGCCACCTAGCCTATACTCTGTCTGAGGTCTTCTTTGCCCTTCAACGATCTTCATAAACTTTACATGTGTGGGTGTAGGTGTGTGTGTGTGTGTGTGTGTGTGTGTGTGTGTGTGTGTGTGTGTTGTGTGTGTGTGTGTGTGTGTGTGTGTGTGTGTGGTGTGTGTGTGTGTATGTGTCTGTGTCTGTGTGGATATTTGCACATAGAGTTACTGGATGGAGTGTAGATCAAGGCACAGGTGAACACAGAGCAACTTAACATGTGTGTCATTTACAAGTTCATTATCTTTCTGTTTTCCACCAACTTCTACTTCAAAAGCGTCCCATTCATCCCAGTAAAGGGCAGTTATTTCAAAGAATTAAAAATTCTCTTCCTTTACTAAGACCAAACAACGATTTCCAGCCTCCCATTTATCCTTGCACTGAATGACCCATGCAGGTTCTCCACTTATTTCTTAATATAATAATATACTAGTTCAAACCACAATTATTTTATAGTGTAATCATAATTTAGCGCTGAACTACAGCTTAAAAGGAATTACAATAATTTTGTATCGACACTAGATCATAATTTAGTCGCAGTCAGTTTTATACTATAAACAAAGTTTGGTGGTTAAACTGCAGCATGTCTGACTGCTCTATAAAACTGCAACATGTCTGACTGCTCTATAAAACTGCAACATGTCTGACTGCTCTATAAAATTGCAACATGTCTGAATGCTCTATAAAACTGCAAAATGTCTGACTGCTCTATAAAACTGCAACATGTCTGACTGCTCTATAAAACTGCAACATGTCTGACTGCTCTATAAAACTGCAACATGTCTGACTGCTTATAAAACTCCCAAAATGTCTGACTGCTCTATAAAACTGCAACATGTCTGACTGCTCTATAAAACTGCAACATGTCTGACTGCTCTATAAAACTGCAACATGTCTGACTGCTCTATAAAACTGCAACATGTCTGACTGCTCTATAAAACTGCAACATGTCTGACTGCTCTATAAAACCAACATGTCTGACTGCTCTATAAAACTGCAAAAATGTCTGACTGCTCTATAAAATTGCAACATGTCTGACTGCTCTATTAAAACTGCAACATGTCTGACTGCTCTATAAAACTGCAACATGTCTGGGCTGCTCTATAAAACTGCAACATGTCTGACTGCTCTATAAAACTGCAACATGTCTGACTGCTCTATAAAATTGCTACATGTCTGACTGCTCTACAAAACTGCAACATGTCTGACTGCTCTATAAAACTGCAACATGTCTGACTGCTCTATAAAACTGCAAAATGTCTGACTGCTCTATAAAACTGCAACATGTCAGAGTGCTCTATAAAACTGCAACATGTCTGTCTGCTCTACAAAACTGCAACATGTGTGACTGCTCTATAAAACTGCAACACGTCTGATGCTCTATAAAACTGCAACATGTCTGACTGCTCATAAAACTGCAACATGTCTGACTGCTCTATAAAACTGCAACATGTCTGACTGCTCTAAAACTGCAACATGTCTGACTGCTCTATAAAACTGCAACATGTCTGACTGCTCTATAAAACTGCAACATGTCTGACTGCTCTATAAAATTGCTACATGTCTGACTGCTCTATAAAACTGCAACATGTCTGACTGCTCTATAAAACTGCAACATGTCTGACTGCTCTATAAAACTGCAATATGTCTGACTGCTCTATAAAACTGCAACATGTCTGACTGCTCTATAAAACTGCAACATGACTGGGCTGCTCTATAAACTGCAACATGTCTGACTGCTCTATAAAACTGCAACATGTCTGACTGCTTTATAAAACTGCAACATGTCTGACTGCTCTATAAAACTGCAACATGCCTGACTGCTCTATAAAACTGCAACATGTCTGACTGCTCTATAAAACTGCAACATGTCTGACTGCTCTATAAAAACTGCAACATGCCTGACTGCTCTATAAAACTGCAACATGTCTGTTGCTCTATAAAACTGCCAAATGTCTGACTGCTCTATAAAACTGCAACATGTCTGACTGCTCTATACAACTGCAACATGTCTGACTGCTCTATAAAACTGCAACATGTCTGACTGCTCTATAAAACTGCAACATGTCTGACCGCTCTATAAAACTGCAACATGTCTGACTGCTTATATAAACTGCAACATGTCTGACTGCTCTATAAACCTGCAACATGCCTGACTGCTCTATAAACTGCAACATGTCTGTTTGCTCTATAAAACTGCAACATGTCTGACGGCTCTATAAAAACTGCAACATGTCTGACTGCTGTATAAAACTGCAACAGTCTGTCTGCTCTATAAAACTGCAACATGGCTGACTGCTCTATAAAACTACAACATGTCTGAGTGCTCTTATAAAACTGCAACATGTCTGACTGCTCTATAAAACCGCAACATGTCTGACTACTCTATAAAAGTGCAACATGTCTGACTGCTCTATAAAACGCAACATGTCTGACTGCTCTATAAACTGCAACATGTCTGAGCTCTATAAAACTGCAACATGTCTGACTGCTCTATAAAACTGCTACATGTCTGAAATGCTCTATAAAACTTCAACACGTCTGACTGCTCTATAAAACTGCAACATGTCTGACTGCTCTATAAAACTGCAACACGTCTGACTGCTCTATAAAACTGCAATATGTCTGAGGCTCTATAAAACTGCAACATGTCTGTCTGCTCTACAAAACTGCAACATGTCTGATGCTCTATAAAACTGCAACACGTCTGACTGCTCTATAAACCTGCAACATGTCTGACTGCTCTATAAAACTGCAACATGTCTGACTGCTCTATAAAACTGCAACATGTCTGACTGCTCTATAAAACTGCAACATGTCTGACTGCTCTATAAAACTGCAACAGTCTGACTGCTCTAAAAACTGCAACATGTCTGTCTGCTCTATAAAACTGCAACATGTCTGACTGCTCTATAAAACTGCAACATGTCTGACTGCTCTATAAAACTGCAACATGTCTGACCGCTCTATAAAACTGCAACATGTCTGACTGCTCTATATAACTGCAACATGTCTGACTGCTCTATAAAACTGCAACATGCCTGACTGCTCTATAAAACTGCAACATGTCTGTTTGCTCTATAAAACTGCAACATGTCTGACTGCTCTATAAAACTGCAACATGTCTGACTGCTCTATAAAACTGCAACATGTCTGTCTGCTCTATAAAACTGCAACATGGCTGACTGCTCTATAAAACTACAACATGTCTGAGTGCTCTATAAAACTGCAACATGTCTGACTGCTCTATAAAACCGCAACATGTCTGACTACTCTATAAAAGTGCAACATGTCTGACTGCTCTATAAAACTGCAACATGTCTGACTGCTCTATAAAACTGCAACATGTCTGAGTGCTCTATAAAACTGCAACATGTCTGACTGCTCTATAAAACTGCTACATGTCTGACTGCTCTATAAAACTTCAACACGTCTGACTGCTCTATAAAAATGCAACATGTCTGACTGCTCTATAAAACTGCAACACGTCTGACTGCTCTATAAAACTGCAACATGTCTGAGTGCTCTATAAAACTGCAACATGTCTGTCTGCTCTACAAAACTGCAACATGTCTGACTGCTCTATAAAACTGCAACACGTCTGACTGCTCTATAAACCTGCAACATGTCTGACTGCTCTATAAAACTGCAACATGTCTGACTGCTCTATAAAAACTGCAACATGTCTGACTGCTCTATAAAACTGCAACATGTCTGACTGCTCTATAAAACTGCAACATGTCTGACTGCTCTATAAAACTGCAACATGTCGTCTGCTCTATAAAACTGCAACATGTCTGACTGCTCTATAAAACTGCAACATGTCTGACTGCTCTATAAAACTGCAACATGTCTGACTGCTCTATAAAACTGCAACATGTCTGACTGCTCTATAAAACTGCAACATGTCTGTCTGCTCTATAAAACTGCAACATGTCTGACTGCTCTATAAACTGCAACATGTCTGTCTGCTCTATAAACTGCAACATGTCTGTCTGCTCTATAAAACTGCAACATGTCTGACTGCTCTATAAAAAACTGCAACATGTCTGTCTGCTCTATAAAACTGCAACATGTCTGACTGCTCTATAAAACTGCAACATGTCTGACTGCTCTATAAAACTGCAACATGTCTGACTGCTCTATAAACTGCAACATGTCTGACTGCTCTATAAAACTGCAACATGTCTGTCTGCTCTATAAAACTGCAACATATCTGTCTGCTCTATAAAGTGCAACATGTCTGACTGCTCTAAAACTGCAACATGTCTGACTGCTCTATAAAACTGCAACATGTCTGTCTGCTCTATAAAACTGCAACATGTCTGATTGCTCTATAAAACTGCAACATGTCTGTCTGCTCTATAAAACTGCAACATGTCTGTCTGCTCTATAAAACTGCAACATGTCTGTCTGCTCTATAAAACTGCAACATGTCTGACTGCTCTATAAAACTGCAACATGTCTGACTGCTCTATAAAACTGCAACATGTCTGACTGCTCTATAAAACTGCAACATGTCTGACTGCTCTATAAACTGCAACATGTCTGTCTGCTCTATAAAACTGCAACATGTCTGACTGCTCTATATAAAACTGCAACATGTCTGTCTGCTCTATAAAACTGCAACATGTCTGTCTGCTCTATAAAACTGCAACATGTCTGTCTGCTCTATAAAACTGCAACATGTCTGACTGCTCTATAAAACTGCAACATGTCTGTCTGCTCTATAAAACTTCAACATGTCTGACTGCTCTATAAAACGCAACATGTCTGACTGCTCTATAAAACTGTCCTGGAGGTTTATATAATTCATGGTACAATGTGATTTTGCTTTTGATTCTTTGATATTGAATATTATACTTGTCAGTACAGTAATATTATACTTGTCAGTACAGTAATATTATACTTGTCAGTACAGTAATATTATATACTTGTCAGTACAGTAATATTAACTTGTCTGTACAGTAATATTATACTTGTCAGTACAGTAATATTATACTTCTCAGTACAGTAATATTATACTTGTCAGTACAGTAATATTATACTTGTCTGTACAGTAATATTATACTTCTCAGTACAGTAATATTATACTTGTCAGTACAGTAATATTATACTTGTCTGTACAGTAATATTATACTTCTCAGTACAGTAATATTATACTTGTCAGTACAGTAATATTATACTTGTCAGTACAGTAATATTTATACTTGTCAGTACAGTAATATTATACTTGTCTGTACAGTAATATTATACTTCTCAGTACAGTAATATTATACTTGTCAGTACAGTAATATTATACTTGTCAGTACAGTAATATTATACTTGTCAGTACAGTAATATTATACTTGTCAGTACAGTAATATTATACTTCTCAGTACAGTAATGAATGAAATTTCTGATACCAAGATTAAATATTTGAATGGAGGTGTTTGCTACTACCTGGTTTTGTAATGTATCATTTCATGTCTGGCACATTATTAGGAAAGTCACTGCTTAAAACTGCTTAAAAGCTTTCTGAAAGTTAATTGTCTTGTTGTAGAGACTTCTTCTTTATAAAGGTTTTAACATTTTTGTTTATTTATTGTTATGTGAAGCGCTCACTAGTTCTACATTTTTCATTCACTCTTCTATCATGTCTTCCGCTCTGATATTTATATTCTTCATCTTCATGTTAACTCCACTTCTTCCTTGTCTTTGAAATGATCACTTTGCCTCTCCCTCATTTATGCTTCTATTATTTGTATTATTTATTATCGTTTCATTGTTACTTTTATATAATTCTTCTCGTGTCATTGTTATTTTTATATAATTCTTCTCGTTTCATTCCATTTTGTCTATACTTCATTATTTTTGTGCTTCTCTATGCCTTCGATCTTCTTGTGTTACTTATGGTAGTGTCTTGTCGTATAGGTTCCGGATGTTAATTAAAGATGAGGTCCTTGTAGTGGGAGAGAAGATAAACAATGGAGACGCAGCAGTTGGTGGAGGTGCGGACCACATGTTGGACGGTCAGCACGTTCAAAGTTGGCCTTGACGATCTCATAGTACTTGCCGTCACTGTAAACAAATACACTGATGAGAAGGCTTGTCAAAGAGACTGAGGTGGTTGTGACTACACTAGAGACATAATGGTGGTTGAAAAATTCAAGTGATGATGTTGGCATTGGTTGCAATAGTGGTGATTGCAGCAGAGCAATAGAGGTGGTGGTTGACAGTTAGTGTGGCAGTAGTAGTGATAATAATAATAACATTTTATTTCGGCATGATACATGTAATACTTGAGTGTACATGACGAAAGCCCATTTATATGCAAAGCATTTCGGGCAAATTTAAAATTAATAAGGCTGTGGAAAATTGCATTTATCTGAATGTAACTAATTATGTACATAACAGTAAATGATAACAAAGATAATATTATTTATCAATGTTACATAGACAAGTAGGAATTTTGGGACACCTAGGTCGCAAAAAAGTCCCCCTTCGATACCTACCACTGTCATAACCACAAGTTGCTCTGACCTATTATAAATGAATTATACATCAGGAAATTTTGGTAAAAAATATAAATTTTTGGG